TAATAATCCTAAATCGATTATAAATGTCCCCATGACATTGTGAAGGTTCAACTTAATCCTTAATGATAATACTAATGCAAATACTAATAATAAGCGAGTATAAATAGACTCTAATAGACGTACGTTACAAAAGTACAATTAAGATTCGAGAGACGCTAAAATGGTGGTTCCCACCTTATTGAGACTGAGGCCCACAAGGATAAACTCGTAGCGTAACAAAAACGGGAAATGATTTAACTTGGAACGAAAGACCGAAAGACGATTGTAGTATTAGGACGTTGAATTTTTTGGTTTGTGAAGCATTGGCATTACTTAGGTTAAACCATGTGATGATTTTCACAAACCTTGATTTTTAAAACCATTTTATACATAAAGATGGGCGACACTTTTCATAAAGATATTTTCTAGATCGAAAAATCAAAAAATCAAAAAATCGAAAAATTGGAATATCGGAAAATTAAAAAATCAAAAAATTGAAAAATAAAAAAATCGAAAAATCGAAAAATCGAAAAATCGAAAAATCGAAAAATCCAAAAATCGAAAATTGAAAAATCGAAAAAATCGAAAAATCAGAAATTCGAAAAATTGGAAAATCGGAAAATTTAAAAAACAACAGTTAGTTACCTATGTTTAATAAAAACTTTCCATTCTACACTTAACTTTTATTTAATAAAGAAACCATAATGGTCGTGGACAAAGTATAGTATTAGACTCGCAATTTATGGCCATTATTCACCCTGCGTGAATAATGGCTACCATAAATTGCTCGTTTAATAATATACTATTAAACATGTCAATTGAAAAAATCTAACTAAATACTACTAAAATCTGAATAAATTAGTATGATTACAATACCAGACAAAAATCTATTTGAAAATTATATAAACTAACTCAGGTTTTGGTGATAAATTCGTTGTTTTATTTATGGAATCAAGGTCTACAACTTGTTATCTACGGTAATAAAAAATATTAGGAGTCACTTTATTTAAAAACCAAGTAAAAATATGTATTTATGGAGTTATTTGTTGTGATGACTAATTATTTTAACACAGTGGAATTTGTGCAAATTAAATGTTTTTAATTTTGTATTTTTTTTTAAATGGTGCTTAAGTTTTTTTGTTATATCGACATCCTGAACATGTCTATAAAATATTTACAAGGGTTTTGGTAAAGGCTTAAAAACTCACTCTCATTCATAAAACACACTGTAAACCCCTTAGTGCTCCCGACGTGTCCCACTATTAAGAAAGCCTATTTAAATTATCGTGCAAGCATGCAAAACAAAAAAGACCTTTGGAAAGCAATGAAATCCTTGAATATTTCAAATAAAACTACATTCCATATTCCTGATGACTTAAGTGACCCTACTGATATAAACAAGTATTTTCCGTCGGTATTTAGTCAGAGACAGGGCCGCCGAGAGCCAGGCCGGGCCCCAGGACAATTCTCCAGATCGGGCCCCGTGATAAAAAAATACTGTTCCTCTTCTACTGAAATACAATTTTTTCTAAAAAAAAAAAAGGTCCTCACATCAAAATACTAACTCTCCCTACTTCTTCTAAAAAAAAACTTTTTTTTCCTCTGTTTATATTTCATTTTATTTTTAATAAACTTAACTTCCCTCTCTCATCTTGTGTCGAATTTCTCATGCAGAACGAAAAAACCTGTTGTCGGGCCCCCCTAACAGCGGTACCGGGCCCCCATTTCAGCCCGGGCCCCGGCAATTAGTCCCGGCTACCCCCCCCCCCCCTCTAGTCGGCCTTGGTCAGAGAAATTCTTATCCTAACACTACATCTTATTATAATTCAAATCTATTTAATCCTGGTATTAGCTTCTCTTTTAAACTTGTAACAGTAAATGAAATTAGGTCAATAGTTTTGGAAATAAAATCAAACGCTAATGTGTTTGATTATAAAATCTCAGCATAAATGTTACAACTTTCTATTTCAGTCTGTGCTCCTTACATAACGAACATTGTAAATTGCTGTTTAGAAGTTGGTTACTTTCCTGACCGCTGGAAGTATTCCTTAATCAAGCCTTTGCCAAAATCAAATAAGCCTAAAACATTTAGCGATCTGCGGCCCATAAGTATTTTACCGACGTTGTCCAAAATTATCACAATTTTTTAATCGTTTTTCCCATATAAATTTAAAACGGCATATGCGATTTTGCTGAAATTTGGTATATTGGTAGAGTTTTATGTGGCAAAAAAAATGGTAATAAAATTTTGTCCGATAATAATACATAGGCGTAGAACTTGATTTTTTAAATAATTGCACCTCTAAAAATTCTACGCCAATGAAAGAAAAGGAGTTTGAGTATAAAATTTAGATTGTGCAATTCATTTACTTTAAAAAAAGTACTCTTGATAAAACTCGATTACTCTCATGGTTTTCGCTAAATTTCTGTTTTAATAATTTAGAGTGTATAGGTTTCACAAAAATATTTATTTACAACATAATCAAAATAGAGATTTTACAAAAATTGTTCAAAATGTTCACCATTTTCACGCATACAAAGATTTATGCGTCGAAGAAAATTAAAATGTATCCTTTCCATAACTTCTTCATCACCTCTAAGATTGTTTATTGCATCTTGAATACGTTGCCAGAGTTGTTCCTCATTGTCTACAGGTTCCCTGTAAACTGTGGATTTCAGATGTCCCCATAAAAAGTAATCCATCGGTGTTAGGTCTGGGGAACGTGGTGGCCAGTTTACAGGTGCGTCATTACCTCTGCCTATCCATTTGTGTGGATATTGTTCATTCAAGTGGTTTCTAACGTTTAAAGAAAAATGTGGTGGAGCTCCATCTTGCATAAACCACATATCTCTCCGAAGTTGGAGAGGTAAATCTTCTAACAATTCTGGCGACGTATTTTGTAGAAAATCCAAATAATTTTCTCCAGTTAATCTTCGTGGAAGTATGACAGGACCAAAAATTAAATTATCAATTATTCCAGCCCACGTATTCATTTTGAATTCGGGCTGAAAATGGTTTACCTTTATTGCATGCGGATTTTCAACGGCATAAACATGTTCATTATGGGTATTAGTTATACTTCTTCTTGTAAAACCTGCTTCATCGGTAAAGAGAACCTTCTTGACAAAGTTTGGATCTCTTTCTCTTTGCATATTAACAAATCAACAAAAACCCAAACGAATTTTAGGATCATGGACTAATAATTCTTGTACTGGCTTCTTATGGTATGGATATAGCAATTGTTCTCTAAGCACTTTATGATCGACATCTTTACTTACTCCTAGTTACCTTCCAATTCGTCTGGCGCTTAATTCTGTTCTAAAATGTCTTCTTCAACTTCAGAAATCCTTACAAAACGTTCTCTTCCATTATCAACAGTGTTGGGAGCAAAGGAACCGGTCTCCCGAAGACGTCTCTCAACAGCAGCAAAAGTTGGGTGGCTAGGTACACAACGATTTGGAAACCTTTCAGAGTACACCCTGACACTCTCTCGAGCATTTCCTTCTCAAAATCCTAATGTCAGTAACATATCGGTATATTCTTAATTGGTATATTGTACAGCCATATTAATAAACCACGCATTTGTTTTTTTAATTATTGAGTCAGATAGAACACTTTCAATCGTTAACAAGAGATTAGGTGTTAAAACTTGACAATATTTTTATTTAGATGAAACTATGGAAACCAACAATAAATGTTTTTGTATACGTATTGCAGGCAAATAATTAATATTCCTCAAAAAATCGTACATGGCAAGAATCGAGTATTTTTGTTAAAAGTCTCGATTGGAGGTGTTGAAGAAGATATGAAAAAAGTACATTTTTATGTTTTTCATCGTATTAAATTTTATCCGATAATAATACATAGGCGTAGAACTTGATTTTTTAAATAATTGCACCTTTAAAAATTCTACGCCAATGGCAAAAAAGGGGTTTGAGTATGAAATTTGGATTGGGTACTCATTTACTACAAAAAAGTACCCTTGATAACACTCGATTTACTCTCATGGTTTTGACAAAGTTTGTATTTTAATAATTATTGTTTATGTTCTAAAATTACTAAAATGCAAATTTCGTCAAAACCATGAGAGTAATCGAGTCTTATCAAGAGTACCTTTTTTAAAGTAAATGAGTTGCGCAATCTAAATTTCATACTCAAATTCCTTTTCTTCCATTGGCGTAAAATTTTTAAAGGTGCAATTATTTAAAAAATCAAGTTCTACGCCTATGTATTATTATCGGACAAAATTTTAATACCATTTTTTTTGCCACATAAAACTCTACCAATATACCAAATTTCAGCAAAATCGCATATGCGGTTTTAAATTTATATGGGAAAAACGATTTAAAAATTGTAACTTCAAGGCCCTCTGGAGCCCAAACGAAGCAACTTTCTACTAAGGTAATTTTACTTAAATCGACTTATTTTGGTCTAAGGAATATGTGGTATGTTTTTGTAAAGACCTTTTACAGACACCCTGTATAACAGTCTACCTAGGGAAATTAGGACACGTTCTCTTACATTTTTAAAACAAAATTATAAAACGTTGCTATTAGTTGAGCAATGAATGCAAACTTCCCCAAAATAACATACTTGCAAGATCTCCCACTCTCCTCAGAACTCCAGGATCTACTACACTCTGTCCCACTATTTATAATATAAACTCACCTATCCCAATAACATATAACCTAGGGTGACAGTATTGTAACATCATTGAAGGAAAAGTGCCCATTATTAGTAGCATCCAACGTATAAATCTCTTCGAATCTTGAATTTCTAGGACAATAAACTAGTAGCCCTTCATTGATAGAAGATTGGAACCTCTTTTCATTGGAAAATACCTCGTTATTCCAAAAAAATATTAAATTTAAAAAAACCTTGGTATACAAATTCTTTATTGTTTAAAACAACAAACAAATTATTAATTTATCAACATACCTACGAACATCTTGAATTAATAAACAATACATATGATTCACGCGTTTCATCCTATTACTAATAGTTGTTTTTTTGTTTGCAGATTCTTTTCGGAAACATGATCTAATCCAATGTCTTTAAAGATAACGATAAATCAAAACAAACTAAAAAACACCTTCAAATCGGTATCACGCCTCATCAACATGGAGTCGGAAGTCCAACGGCCGTTAAATAACGAATATACAGAAGTATACAGTCGGCTACCTCTAAAGCTGCAACTTTCTTACGGAATAGGGCATGTTCTTAACGACGTGTGCGCTTCTATGTGGTTCACTTATCTACTGGTATTTTTCCACTTGGTGCTGGAGTTCGACAACAGACAAACCGGGGTGATTTTGCTCATTGGACAAGTTGCCGATGCTTTGTCTACTCCATTCGTGGGGTACCATTCCGACCAATCTGACACATTCTGGATATGCAGGTATGGCAGGAGGAAAACTTGGCATCTCCTCGGCACTATATGCGTTATAGGATCATTTCCTTTTATATTCGCACCGTGTTACGGTTGTGAGGACGCACATTCTTGGAGGGAAATGTTCTACTACAGCATGTTTATAATAATATTCCAATTCGGTTGGGCTGCGGTCCAAATTTCGCATCTATCTTTGATACCAGAACTAACGCCCAACGAGCATGACAGAACTAAATTGACAGCTGTCAGATATTCGTTTACTGTGATATCCAACGTTCTAGTCTATATAATAACCTGGATTGTTCTACATTTGAACAATGGAGAAAGTTCAAAAATTGGACCAGGCGATGGACCAAAATTCCAACACGTGGTTTGGTCTATATTATCGATAGGTATAGTAAGTTCGATTTTATTCCACGCCTATACTAGAGAGGATGATAACGGAGTTGGTAATAACGTTAGAGGTGGGCAGGTCAGATCCAGCATAGCAGATTTATTTAAAACCTTCGAAATCTACAGGATAGCCGTGGTTTATATGTCCTCAAGGTTATTCGTAAACCTTTCGCAGGTTTTCATACCGTTATATCTTCACGAAACTTTAAATATGCCTGCGAGTTCCCTAGCGGTGGTACCGTTGATGATGTTCATTGGAAGCTTCTTAGCATCGTTAGTCATAGAGAAGATAAACAGGTTTTTAAGAAGAAAAATGACATTCGCGTTAGGAGCTCTGTTTGGTGTAATCGCTTCCATTTGGATAAAATTTGGAGGAGGTGAAAACTACCAAGAATACTACATCTATTTGGTAGCTTTATTAATAGGAGCTGGTGGTTCTATAGTGTTAGTAACCAGTTTAGGTGTGACTACGGACTTTATCGGTGAGAATACGAATAACGGTGCTTTCGTCTACGGGGTGATGAGTTTTACGGACAAGTTAGCGAACGGGGTAGCCGTTGTTATTATTCAGTATTTGCACAACGATTTGAAGAACATATATTTCTATCGCGACGTATTAACAAACGTATGTGGAGGATCGGTGATATTAGGAGCTGTTGCTGTGATAGGCTGTGATTGTTTACGTAGGAGGAATAGTTTAGTTTACGAAAGGGTTCCTGATTACAATTCTATAAATTGAAGCGTTATATAAGGGATTTCACAATAAAGTACCGTAAACTGATCGAGAGGCTTACAGCTGTTTTGTCAGGAAGCTTTTATGGCTGTTTTTGGTAAAATAAAGACTTTTAATGTGTGTGTCAGACGCATTGTCCCAAAATATTAACACGTAGGTTATGTGGTTTTGAAACAGCATAGTAAGCAGTGATTGCTGCAACCTAGTCACATACCTACTTGACGTATGTGCTCCGTCCATCTAAGTTGTAGATTAAGTATTTTAACCCTTAACTGCATGAATTTTAGAAAATCGCAAAAAAAAATTAAAAATTCAGGGTAGCTTATCTGACCCTACTTTTAAACAGGGAAAATTGTTTAAAAAATTATGATTACATTTTTGTCAAAATTAAAACAAAAAAAATGTTATCAAATATGATACATTATTCTTCAAGGGGAAATAAATATGGGACTAAAAACTTAACAAAGTACTATTCAAAATGTATTTATGTTTCAAATAACACTGCGAAATAATCTCTTAGTGTTCACGATGGAACTCAAAAAAACAGTTTCTCTTTTTGATTATACAAAAATTCAGTCTACATTTCCTGCAGAATTGGTCAATGCTTTACAGCTATCATATTTGCATCTATTTCTTTTTTCTTCTAATTGTGGCCAATGCTCGAATCCATCAGTACGAACAACTATGGTTGGACTAGGGACAGCAGATCTTCTTCTAATTTGAGCGCTGGCAGATCGACCATGTTTGGGAGTGTCACTTCTTGCAATTTTACACAGGCAATATGCTAAATCTAGTCAAAATTGTTGTTTTGCCGTTTATGCTGTTTATTTGTTAAAAACCCAAACATTGACAACGCACAAATCAAGCAAATGGTGAAATAAGCGAAAATAACATTTTTTACTTTTCATAGTTATTTTGTGTCGCCCAATGTGAGAATCCATCAAATCTACACCACCCATGTGTCTGTTGTAGATTTTGATAATTTTTGGAGAGGGAATGTTCACATAACGTATGGTCCTAAAGTTTTTGGAAAATTTTTAAATGCTAATAAATTTTTCCAAATTTTTTTAATTTTAAAAGCACATGTGGCAACTATTAACAACACTAATAACGAAAAATAATTACTAATTACATTATGGATAGTGGCCCGTTATCCTCAATGAGTCGTAATTTTCTTCGGACTTGTCCCATCTTCCTTTGGACAAGAGCAGGTTCTATTTCTCTAATCTTTTGGAAGATGCGACGCCGCAATTGATCTTCATTTGTAGCTTCCCATCCTTTATCGTACACTTTCCTCGATAGTATTGACTAAAATTCCTCTATTGGCCTAGCCTGAGGTACATTAGGAGGATTGTCCAACTTAGGTACAAAGTCAATGTTATTTTCACTTAACCACTGTCTGGTAATTCTAGCATGATGGCATGAAGCTAGATCAGGCCAAAACATTATATTATCGTTGAGATGATGTGTATTTAAAAAATTAAGTAATTTAGTAAGACATCTTTGAATATAAAGTTCTGCATTTAAGGCTTCTCCCCGAACACGACCAACATACGGCTGTGAGATAAATCCTGCTTCAGAAATGGCACACCACACTAAAACTTTATCCTCAAATTTTGATTTACCTTTAAATTTAACATTGTCTGGTGTATTTTCTATGTTATCGGTATAAAAACCATTTTTTCCTTTAATCTCTGAATGGGATAAGGTAAAATATTTTTCATCATCCATTACAATCAATTTATTGGCAAAGTGGATACGCCTTAATGCGCGGCAACAACGCGGAATTCTTTCTAGCTGGTCTGCAGTGTATTTTGGTGCCTTTCTTCTTTTTCTAAACACTAAGTTTGTGCGATCAATTGTTCTTAATACAGTGGTTTTCGAAATACCAAATCTCCGGGCTAATTTTCTCTGAGAAACTCCAACTTTGTCTTTAGCAGCTTCCATCAGTCTTCTTTCTCTTCTTACACTCAAAATGCTTGGTCTACCGCTTTTGGGTAAATTAATGCATGGTACACCCTCTTCACAATTCCTTATAGTGTTGTAAATGGTTGACTTACTTATATTTTGCTCTTGGTAGATTGCAACAATATCATGCTTAGGTATTCGTCCAACTAGATTGTAAATGCCCTTACGAATATCTAATTTTGCTACAATCGATTTCCAAAACTAAACTGTCATAATCAAACTTGATTACGTGTGACGTTTTAGTTTCAATGGCAACTTGATTAAACGACATTGGGTACAAAAATAAATAATTTAAAAATTTTCCAAAAACTTTAGGACCATACGTTATTAATTTTTTATTTCCGACATATCTACGTATTGTGTCAATGGGTTCCACACCACATAAATTGAATGCCAAACACACAAGACTGTTACCGTTCCAATGAACAAGAGAAATTGGACAACCATCATATTCTGTTACAAATTCTTCTACAGTCCCCTTGCACTTTTTTTCATACTTTTGTCATCAGTAACGGTGTTGTTTGGGATGCGATCTTTTCGTATTGTCCCCAATCCAAAAATATCCTTCTTCTTCAGGTCAGCCATGAGGGGTAGGGAGGTATAATAATTGTCAAAATATACGGTATATCGACAATTTTCTGGGATACCTCTAATCAAACGAATAACAATATTAGGGTTCGCTCCAATATCTGTCTCTCCATCAATAATTACGTTTTCTTGTCCTGAGTAGATTTCAAAGTTGTAAGCGAAACCATCATTATCACATAAAACAAATAATTTGTAAATTATTTATTGTTATAAGCCTTTACTTGATGAAAATCCATTTAATCTTGAAAGAGTAAAACCAAATTTGGTAGATGTTCACACTTTTATTTTAAAAATATAAAAATTAAAAAAAAAAAAAAAAACACTAACATGACATGTTTCGAAGTAATTTGTAGCCCCATTTTTTGAGTTTTCGAGGATTGTATTTGCAACGAATGTTTTATTTTAGTTGCACAAATTTGTTCATCAACTGAAAGACTCTCATCCATGGGTACACTAGAAAATTTATTATTCACATGGTCTATGATAGGACGCAATTTGAACAGTTTATCTCTAGCAGGAACATTAGCTTGTAAATTGTTAAAGTGTTATCATTGAAATGAAAAACAGAATGAATGGCTTCAAACTTGTTGATTTCCATAGTTGCTTTCACCATATCGTTACCCAAGATCGGGTGCCAGAGATCTCTAGTGCACGAAACACGTGCCACAGATGAAAAGATAAGAATTCCTATGTATTTTTGCAGCGAATTTAGGGAAAGTGTTGATGGTTTATTAGGGTCTTTTTGTACTGAATATAATATAGGCTATTAGGTTCATCAAATCATCATCAAAAAATTATTTGAAAAAATTATATGGATACTGTAACTGTAATCATTTGAAATACTTGAATTTCCTTTAAATTTTTTATGATCGTCTAAAATTATCAAAGACCCTTTTCTCCAACGAATTTGCTCTTCTAATGCTTTCTTTCTATTGATTGTTGGTATTGAAGGAATTGATTTTGGAGTAACACGTGATTTTGGAGGAATATTTAATTTTTGTTTTGCAGAAATTTTTGATGCAGCATCGTCAGAAATCGCATCTGAGGACTTAGAAGTGCTAGGGAAATCAGCTAGAATTTTTGACGTGCTAGGAACGTCAGCTGGACCTTTCGAAGTGCTAGGAACACAATTTTAAACTTTTGAAGCGCTAGCCAAGTCAGCCGGAACCTCTGAAGTGTAATCTTCCATTCGATTTTGGACTTAATCAAGTTTTTCAAATAAAAATTCATCTGAAATTTCAATCATTTCATCATCTGAATTGTTCGTGAATTGTTATAAACCATCTTCACTCCCGTAAGGCATATCTAATAAGCGATACACATCTTCCTCTCCTAGGGCTTTTTTCCGTCTACGAAATTTATATAGTGATCCATCTAAAGACAATAAAATTTTCTAATATAGATTTTTATTGTAAATATATGAATAAATTTTTACACGATTGCATTGCATGATGTATCAAATGCGATATCACGTAAATAAGGAATTTTTAGAAATTTGATAACTGTAAAACTAAATAAATACTACATACCTCAAATGCTAGAAAAATAATTTTTGATATTCACTTTTATAAATTTACGCACCAGAAATTAATCTCAAAAGCACTTCAAAAAACCGGTACATCACAACATACGTAATTATGCTCATTTGATGTTATACATCTTCTGTCAGAAATAAATGATGGTAAAATTTTATATTATCTTCTAACGCATGTTGTCCCAGCCGTACAACATAATGAAATTCATACACAAGCCAATAGATGTCAGAGCAGTATTATAAATGCGATGTATCATATACGATACGCGATGCAGTTAAGGGTTATTAGTATTTTCATAGTTTCTCCATTATTATTTACTTTAAATAGTTGGTATACAGTTTTAATACTAAATAAAAATGAATATTTTGCAGAAAACCTACTATTTCCTTAGGATCATAATATCTGCGTAAATTTGTTCATATGAAATTTATCTTTTAATATTAATACAAAATGTATAGTATCAGCAGAAAACAAAAGTATATAGCTAAGTATTCAAAAAACATTATTATGTCCTAAAATCGATCACTGAGGAATTTACCTCTTAATATGTATCAATGAACATTTGGAATGTTCAATAGTAATTGAAACAAAGACCACGTACTTCATATCTTTCCAATTTTGATAGTAAAATTGGATAATATAATTAGTTTAGATCTACATGTCCCTCAATTTGCAGTTTACAGTACTTTATTATGAGACATCATATATAAATAATTCTAGCGTCCTGATATAGTATTCTTTTGATAATTCTCTAAAAAATATTCAAATCTTTTGAAAAAGTAATGGTGAAACTTTTAAATGTTTTAACTAGTCAAAAAATATGTCCAATGCCCAATCTTTTCTTGATTTTACATTTTTTAGAAGTTATAAACTCGTTTTTTTATTGCACAGTTTTTACGCATTTGAAATAATCCA